TTTCATAGACTTAGCTGTGTTTTCTTGTGGAACCTTCACTGTCATTGGAGAAATTCCACAGATGCAAGTATTGCAATCTCATCTGTCCTATTCTTTTCATCATTTTCTCTCTAATTTCTTCAAGCATTGTAATTATAGTCTTTATGCCTTGCTTCTAATATCCATGAGTTGAAACATGCATCCATGTTATTTTCTGCTACATCACACTTTGAGGTAAAACCGAAGTAAAGATTGCTCCATCTTTCGGGATTATAATACAACAAGTGATCAACTATGTTTTTACCCAACATTTTCATGTAGTTATGTTATCTTTTATCTCAGCCTCAAAAGTAGACCTTGCACACCTCCAGAAATATTTCTTTCTCTCAATACCTCCCTGTCTCTGTGACCAACTAGCAATAATGTGTCTTGCACACATTCTATGCTCAACATTTGGAAAATGATCAAGTATGGAAATTTGAAGACCCTATATAATTAAATTCAAGTTATGAAACTAAGAAACTAGGACATCCATAAATAAAGGCATGAAATATAAGACATGAAATAAATCAAAAAATCAATAAATGTTTTAACCTTTTGCATATCTGATATGATTGTGATGTTTGTACCATCTCCCAACTGAAGATCTTCATTTATAAGTTTGACAAATCAAGCCCAAGTAAACTTATTTTCAACTTCAACTACTGCCCAAGCCAGTGACAACATTTTATTGTTCTCATCCTTACAAATAACAACGAATAATTGACCTGTAGATATTCACTTTAGAAAACAATCATCCAAACCAATGCATTTCCTACACCCAGTCAAGAAAGACTTTTTCATTGCATCAAAACATATATAGAAGCCTTCAAACATTTTTCTATCATTTTCAAATGTTTCCTCATGAATCTTAAATACATATGTACTACCTGGATTAGTTCTTAGCAACTCATCTTTGTAGTCCAAAATCCTCCCAAACTCAAGAACATAGTCACCCATTAGCTCTTATAATACTTTGATTTTTGCTCTCCTACACATTGTTCTTCCAACATATAAATTCAATTCTTTCTTAATAAGCCCTTGAAGCTCAAAGATTTTAATGTCAAGTTGTTTCTTTATCCTTTCATTGTAGTGAATAGATAAGAACTTGCTATAAAGCTTATTCCTATTAGTAGGATCACATTTGTGAACTGGATTGTATGTCTGTACAACAAAATTGTTTGTCCTAGAATCAAAGCTAGCAAATAAAACCCAAGGACAATTGTTGGTTCATTAATATTCATTTCAATTGCAACATGTTTAGCAATAGCATATTTGGTAACAACAGATCTAAATTGATTAACACGTTCAAATACAAGACCCAATTTCTGTAAAGATGCATCAAATACAACTATATTCACCTTCTTTATCCTTTTTGGCTTAACTCTTTCTTTGTTGAACCTCCTCCCCTACATCATCACTAAAAACATATGGATCTGTTTCAAAACTAGCAGCTTCATCTGAGGGATAATAAGGCTCATCATACTCAACATCTGACCCTTTTTTTCCTGTTCCTAACTTGATATTATCAGGAGGTGATGGAGCGCTTTCTCCTTCTTCTTTTTTACTGTTTTCCTCTCTAAAACTTCTTAGCTCATCATCTACATCAATCCCGTTAAATTCACCCCTGTAATGATTCTCTATATAAATCTTGGTCACTAAAAAAACAAATAGGATTAGAAATTTAATCAGAGAAAGGATGGACAGTGTCAAATGTTGAATCAGTAGAAGGATGAATAGGGGTTGAAGTTAGATAAGCAGGAGGAGTATTTAGAGCAGTGAAAGAGTGTGCAGGAGAAGATGTAATCAGATTAGCATGTGCAGGAGCAGGGACATGTGTAGGGGAGGGGGTAGAGGCAGGGTTTAAGGCATATTCTTGGGCCTGAAGTGTTGGTTCTAAGTTAGCATCAAAAGATTCATTAGGCCCAGTGTTTTGTGATGCTCCCTCACCTACTAAACTTTTCATATATTCCAATGAAGGTGGGACCAAGATTGGTTCATCAACAAAGTGACACACAAAACACTCCAAATATCTCCATGACTTAAACGATCAGCAAACAAAGTAGTATCATAGTCGTATTTTATTTCTAAGATAGCAGTACTTCTAGGAAGTTCCACAGACAACACACATTGTCCAGGTTCATACCCCAATTTTTTCAAACAATCCCTCAATTCAAAATAAGATACCCAATCTATATCAATATCTAAAAACTCATAAACTCCTCCACCATGATATGGTTTTCCCTTGTATCCCCTTTTTTCAATTTTCATGGCACCACTATGGTAAAATCTCAAAGTAATCAATTCAAAAGATATTTTAACCTGAAATAATATTAAATATGATATTCAGAAAGACCTTTTAAAAGTTGACCCTCAACAACAACGACAAAACATATAAAACAACAAATTTCATACAACATTAAAGGAGAAATATGTGACCCTCAACAACAACGACAACACACATAAAACAACAAACTTCATACAACAATAAAGGGGAATCATGTGAATGAAAGACGACATACAATAAACTTGAAAAAAATTAAAGATGAACGAACCCTAAGCTAAAAAGTAGGAACTATAAAGTAACCCTGGAGATGTATGACTAAGCTTTCAAAGATGGAGAAGACAACAATGTATGAACAATGAACGCCTTGATTGAACCCACCAAACTCTAGTAACCACCGATTTGCTTTCACCAAACGCTGAACACCTCGATCGACAGACACCAGCGTTGTTCTAAAATGACAAGGATGCTTCAAAAAAAAACTACATAACCGAAGAAATCTTTAGCTAAAATTAGAATTTACAGACTAGATTTACGATTAGGTTTTGGTGTTCTTCGAGAAAGGAAACGGGTGGATTAAATACATGGACCACCTAGGGTAAAAATAAAATGGATATGGTGAACTAAAAGGGTTCGGGTCAAAAGAAAGGGGTTTGGGTAAAATGAATGGGGTTAGGATCTTTTATTATGTGGCTTCACCAGGACACGAATGGTTCTCCCACGATGCATAATGTCCTGGTTTAGGTTACGCAAAGGACAATTAACTATATTTTTATGTATATTAGGTGTGTAATAGGTCGCTCGATTAGTTAAAGTGTGCAAGTGACTTTTGGGTACATGTTTAGGGGGAAATTATGTCTTTTCCCTAAAAATGTATGTATATAAGTCATCAGTTCGGTTTGGTTATTTCTTCAGTTTTTTCGAATAAAGCCATAACCAAACCAAATACTATTGATTTTCAAAAATCTAAAACCAAACCAAATCAAACCCAAATTAAATTGGTTTACTTTATCGATTTGAATTGATTTTTATCCAAACCGTAAACACCCTTAATCATATTGATTACTAAAAACTAAAATGAAAAGGGCCTAAAATATCCTTGGAGTATTAGAAATGGTACAAAACTACCCTCCATCCACCTTTTGACTTCAAAATACATTTCTCATCAACTTATTGGCTCCAAAATTCCCTTCTCATCCACCTTTATGTTCAAAATTGACAACTTATTTAACGGTTTTAAATTTAAACTATTTAAATATTTTTTTAATATGTGACCTCAACTATTTGTTATAATTTAACTTATTAATATAGAGAAAAGGGTCAAATGTCCCCCTCAAGCTTTAGCCATATTTCCAACTACACACTTAACCTTTGGGTCCTATTACCCCCCTGAACATTTTTTTTTATATATTATTTCACCCTCAGATGTTGACGTGGACACATACGTGAACTCACATTTGTGTGGAGCGTAAGAACGTGATAAAATGTCCATGTGGAGTCCAAATAAGACTCCCAACGATAACTTTACTCTTTATTTAACCGTACATTTATTTTTTTTCACCTTGTTCTTCATCCACCATTGTTCTTTGTTCATCTTGAACAAAAGCTCCCTCCTTCTTTGTTCTTCATCCACCATTGTCTTTCATCCACCATTTTTTTCTTATTAGCAAACGTTTTCGTAACTTCTTCAACAAAGATTGAAGTTAGGGTTTCCAATTTTTGTTGAATTTTAGCTTGATTTTCCCATCCAATTCGACAGATTGTTTTTTTGTTTGTTTTAGGGTTAGTAATATCTAATGTGAAATTGAATAAGCTATGCATGGAAGAATCAGACCCGATGCTCAAAACCATAGTAAGCTGTAAACATGAAATTTGTTGCATATGCAAACTTCTTGGTCGAAGTCGAATCCCGGTAGACGATTTTGGTCATGCCCCTACTATGGTGTATGTTAATTTTCTTAAGTTATTTGATTTTGTTTAGCTGAGTGAATGTTAATAACGTAATATATTATTTTTATTTTTTCAGTTGAACAATTGTAATTTTTTTCAATGAAGAGATAGAGAAGAAATCGATCCAAGATCTCAATTTATCCTCCCAAAATTGGTGAACAAAATCAAAGAGTTGGAAGATGAAGTTTGGAAGAGACATATTCAAATCAATGAGTAACATGTTCTGATTGATAATTTGATAGGAGAGAAGAGGTTCAAACAAAGAAATTTGAAATGGTGTATGTTTGATTGGAAGGTCATTTTATGTATTTTGATTTGTGTTGCAGCTTTGTTCATGAACAACCTATTTCAAAGTAGGGTTCATTCAAGTATTTAAGTAATTGAATTGCCATAACGTATGCCAGTAGGTAGTAGTGAAAGGAGTTGAAAGACATTAATCTTTTCGATTGTAAAACATGTCTTTAGTAGACAGACATAATACCATTTTTAAGAGTGTCTATATTAGTGTCTATACTACAACAAATAAGGATAAACATAACACAATTTTTAAGAGAAACAACCTTTAATAGACATATTCGATTGTAAAACAGGCCACACACAATGTCAAATTACAATAAAAGATCAAAACAAAAAAATATAATTTGATGTTCAATACTAGTACATCATCATTCAAAATGGGAAATTTTTTCTCGCCTACTTAAAACAGTACTGCAATATCATTACTTCCTAGATTGGATTGGTTGAACTATTTTCTCTTGATTTTCTCTGTTCCCTTCTCATTTGTTGAAGTTTTCTTGTTGTGATTGTTGTTTTTCCATTCCATTTCAACTTGGGTGCAGTACTTGGTTTGTAACCAATATCACCACTAACATCAGCAGATTTGTCACCTTTGTTGAACCAGTAGAGAAGATCTTACAACTTGACATCACAGGCTGTATTCAAAGTATGAAATAATACTGACTGAATTTGTAGTTAAAAATTACAAAATAGTATAACTGAATCAATAGAAAACACTTACATTAAGAGCTTTGAATCCATCTTCAGCTTGAAACACACCCATTACAATGATTGTTTGCCTTTTGTATGAGGTTGTGTTTCCCCTACCCCTTCCTCTTCTTTGTTACTATTATCAGGGGATGGACATGTAGAAGGTGCACTAGGTGCTGTAGGTGGTCTTCTTCTTGCACTCTTTGCATGTGTTGCAGAAGCATTAGGTAAACTAGGTGTGGTAGGTGGTCTTCCTTTTGCACCTTTTCTAGGTACAACAGATGCAATAGGTCCTGGAGATGCACTAGGTGCAGAAGGTGGCCTTCCTCTTGACCTCTTTGCAGGTCCTAGAGATGCACTAGGTGTTGTAGCAGATGATCTTTCTCTTGACCTCTTTGCAGGTCCTGGAGATGCACTAGGTTCTTCATGTGGTCTTCCTCTTGACCTATTTGTAGAATGCTCAGCTTCTGTTTGTGCTTTCTATATACATATAGTTAAAATAAATGTAATTATTACACATGATAGTAATATCACATACAAAATTAAAGTTAAAGATTTTACCTTTGGTCTGCCTAAATCTGAAGTTTTTCCCTTTCCCTTGTCTGTATTTGATGGTTCTTCCCTTGAAGATGACTCAACCCTTTGTGGACATCCTCTCTTGTTGTGGCCTCGAACATTACAGTTACTACATGTCATGGCAAGTCCAGTTCTAGGTATCTTTCCAGATTTTTTACTTTCACCAGCTTCTTTCTTTTGAAGTTTACCTGGCCTGCCAGGTATGCTTTTTATTTCAGGTGGTGCAACTGTGGGGTTAGTAGATTCAGGCCACATCTCCATGTTTGTGACATGTTGAAGGACATTGGCATAAGTCTTCAAGTAAGTTGGCTTACTATAACAGTTGCCAATTTAGTGAAGGGGTTCACCTTTCTTAAAGTAAATGGCAGCCACAGCATGTGCACATGGTATGCCTTTTAACTGCCATACCCTACAACTACAAATCTATCTACCAAGATCAAAACTGTGTTGAAATTGTCCTTCTCTCACTTCAAACCCATCAACTCCATTAAATTCAATATTACAATTCAGTGACCTATAAATATTCTCTTGTAGTACCATTAGACACATTGGAGAAAAATCACTCATCCAAGTATTTGTGAACTCTCTCAACTTGACTATTCTGGTCATCATTTTTACTCTTATCTCTTCAAGCATAGTGATAATTGTCTTGTGTCTAGGTGCCAAGATCCATGAATTAAAGCACTCAGACAAATTGTTATATACAGAATCACATTTTACTTGAGTATTAAAGTAAACCTTACACCAGAACTCTATCTTGTAGTACATAAGATCATCCATCATTTTTTCTGGACCAAGCAACTTCATCTTCACAATATATTTCCTCAATTGAGATTCAAAGGTTCTCTTTGCAATAGACCAAAACTATTGTCTTCTTTGGAGACCTCTCCAATCCTTAGCCCAGTTAGCTAAGATATGTCTAGCACACTTTTTTATGTTCAACAACAGGTAAAATATTTTGAATTTCTCGTATTAATCCCTGTAATAGATCTAGATATGTTATAATAACAAATATATGAAAATTGATAAAGACAGATACAAAATAAAAAAATAATACATATACCTTCTGCATATTTGTAATCAGGGTAAGATTTTCACCATCTCCTAGTCCTAGATCATCCTTCAAAAGTTTGATAAACCATGTCCATGTCTCTTTTTTTCATACTCAACTACTGCCCAAGCAAGTGGCAGCATCTGGTTATTACCATCTCTGGTCACAACAACTAACATTGTCATCTACAAACCTTTTTAAGGAAACAACCATCTAAACCTATGAATTTTCTGCAATTTTGGAATGCCTTCTTCAATGGATCAAAACATATGTAAAAGCTCTGAAATACTGGCCTACCAAGAGCATCAAGCTCACCAAGTTTAACAACACAAGTGCTCCCTGGATTGGTCCTTAACAGTTCATCTTTATAGTCAACAGTTTTCCCAAATTCCACAGCATGATCACCCATGATCTCTTTCAACACTTTAGCTCTTGCCCTCCTAACAGTAGTCTTGGCAACATGCATTTTAAATTTTTTCCTTATCAACTCTAGCAACTTGAAAACTCTTATATTTGGCTGCTCATTAATCCTCTTTCTAAAATGTGTAGCTATGAACTTTGCATTACACAAATAGTTTCTAGTTGTGTTGTTACAATTATACTTTGGATTGTAAGTCTTTATCATGAAATCATTTGTTTTTTTGTCAATACATGCAAAGAAAAGCCATGGACAAGCTTCATTGCACCTACATCAAACTCTTTTTGGCTCATTCACACACTTTTCTATTTGAACTCTCCTTTGGACAACATATTTACCTACTGCTATTCTAAATTCATTCACATCTGCAAAGACCATACCCAACTGCCATACAACTTTCTTGACAGTAGGATCATGTATAATTTTTTTGATTATCTGGCCTCATTGTTCTTGGTAAATTTACACTTCTTGGTAAATTTACTCTTTCAGATTCAACACATTCATCACTAAATTCACCTTCATCTATTTCAAAACTTCCATCATCAAAACTTGCAAAATAAAGTCTCATCACCTCCTAATCATCCTTCAACACTTACTTTACCTGTTTTAGTTCCATCAAAACCTAAATCTGGTCCAGCTTCACCTACTGGTACCTCTTAAGTATCAGTTGGTACTCTCTCTTTTCTTTTTCTTATTTAAAAAGATCTCTTTTCAGCCCTTAACTCCCTAACCTCTTCATGTACATCACTACCATGGTCCTCATCATCATCTCCCACCAATCAACATTCAAACTCAGAACTATCTTCTGTTGAGTAATCAGAACCCAGTTCTTCTAAGAAATCAGATTCAACAGGGCCTGAAATTAGATCATCAACATCTTCAATGACAGCCTCAGTAGTGGAAGGAGATCTAGGAGAAGCAGTTGTAGTGGTAGGATTTGTAGTGAAATGAGTGCCAGTGAAAAGAGATTTAAGAACAACAGTTGTAGTGGGAGAAGTTGGGGTAGAAGTAGATCCAGTAGCAGAAGTAGTGAAAGGAGTTGGGGTAGATTGAGATCTAGTATCAAAGGAAGTAAACGGGTCTTCACCTATCCCACTTTGGCCATTTACTTTATTAAAAGCTGAACTAGAATCCTCCATATCCCCATGAGGGAAATTTTTTAATAAAATAGGGGTAGGGTCACAACTGCATCATCAATTAAGTGTTACATATACTCCATCTTCGAAAGAACAACTTAACTCTAAAATATCCACATCATCATGAATATCTTTCAAAATGCCACTGTTAGGAGGTTTGATACTAAATGTGCAAGTTGTTGTGTATCCCAATTTTTTTTATGTATCCTCTCAATTCAAAATAGGACAGTCTATCCACATCAACATCCAAAAAATCTGTGATTCTCCCACCACTGTAAACTGGTTGTCCACTACTTAAATCTAAGATTCCACCATGATACCATCTTAACGTAATCAAAGTAAATACACTCATCTCATACCTGAACAATGTAACACTAGTAAGGAAATGAGAAACTATGTTTTCTAAGAATTATTTAGTTACTTAAAAAATTCAAAGGCAACAGAACTAGGGAGAAAAGAAAAAGAAACAAAATCCCTAATCGAACACTATCAATCAAACACTAATAAACAAAACCCCTAATATTACGATACACATATCAAAATGGCATTTGAATGTCCAGTTCAACAAAACCCTAATAAACATTAAAATAACACTACCATCAAAACTAAAATCAAATATCAATTTAACATTTAGTTGGTAAAGAATAACCCTAATAAATATTAAAAGGCTCAAATAAACTACAAACTATAGCACACCAGTCAAAAAAACATTTGAATTCGCAGTTTAAATAGAACTCTAATCGAACACTAACATCAAAATAGTATTCAACTAGTAAAGATCTAACCTTTTTCTCAGAAGAAATCGCAAGTAAGCTTTCGAATTCAACAATGGCTACTCAATGCGACTGGAAGAAGAAAGAAGAAAGAAGAAAGGTAAAGGTAAATATGTCACACGTGTCATTTTTTTAAAGTCTTGTAAAGTCGTGGAATCCACGATTATACACGTGTACAACGCGTGTATACAAACAATTTTTATAAATCTGGTATAGGTGACCTCGTCAGCGTCTGAGGGTGAAATAATATAAAAAAAATATTCATAGGGGTAATAGGACCCACGCAAAGGTTAAGTGTGTAGCTGGGAATATGGCCAAAGCTTGAGGGGACATTTGAACATTTTCTCAAAATTATATTATAAACCAATCTATTACGCACCAATTACTAATTATACCCCAGCAATTAATAAAACCATCCCATTACTAATGCAACAACATGAAAGCTACTGCCAATGAGTGTTTCTATAAATTTGAGGCAAAAATTTCTATAGAATTACATTAGCATACATTCAAGTCCTCAATCAAAACATATTATAATTCAAGTGTCTAAATAAAAATTACCGATAAATTTAAAAGTTTGATTATGTTCATCTTAATTATTCAATCTCTCAATTATATGATGTTACTTAATGGATAACTTTTTTTAAAAAATACTATATTAAAGTTTTAATATTTAAAACAAATAATAACTATTTATAAAACTATATTAAAAAGTGCATGAATTAATTAGGGATGTACAACTTCTTTACCTTTAATTATAAATTTCGAATTCAAGCTTGAAAGAAAATCATATTGAAAGTGTCATCCTAAATAAGCGGCTCAACCTAAATTTAATTAGGGTTTCAATTCGGATTCGAATAATTTTGGATGTCATTTTGAGGAATCTGTAATTTCGTCGTGTTTTAGTATTGTTTAGGGCGACTTTGATATTATAATTGATTTATTAATTTTGTGGGGTTTAATTAGTAATATGTGGATAGTGAGTTGATTTATAAATGATATTAATAAATTAAATTATATCCAATAGTTGAGGGCCAAGTATTTATAAAAAATATTCATATAGTTTAAGTTTAAAACCGTTAAATAAGTGGTCTATTCTGAACCCAAATGTGGATGATAAGGGTATTTTGAAGCCAATAAGTGAATTGATGATAGTTTTATAACATTTTCGATACTTCAAAAATATTTTAAGACTTTTTCTAAGAATAAAAATATTTGAAAAGGCATACCAATAGGTAACATCAAAATCACAATATCATTTTATTTTATTTTAATAGGAAATTTCGATATCTAATGCACGATGTACACCCCTAATTATTGTAACTCAACTAAAGAGTCAGGAATTGAAATGTGAGTGAATTGGGTAGGTGTACTATTGAAAGTCATATTACATTAGGTCATAAGAAAAGAAGACAATTAAATTAGTTGTTACGATTTGATTTGATATACCAATTTAGAAAATAGATATAATTATTTTATCAAATTATCTTCTATTAAATAATGTCGTTGAAAATGATTTGGAAAATAAATATTTAATATTTAAGAGTAAAATATGAAGAAAAAAGTAGAGAATTTCTTTCATATATTAAAAGTACAATTAAAAATAAAAATCTATTTTTAAAATAGATGACAAATAAAAATGAACCAAGTAATTTATGTCGGTTGTTTTAACATATGGTTGGAATTATAAAATTGAAGGGATACGTGACGATACACGACTCTTGATAACGCACGTTCCTTATCACATCTTTCTTTATTTATTTTGTTTGTCTTTTTCCAAATTTCATTATCTGATTGATTATTTATCCTCCATTGTACATCACCATTACTTGATGACCCATGGGCCTTATTGTCTCTTTAAATTTGTCCTTTCATATTATTCATTTGTATTGATTTTTCATTTATTCAGGGGGAAAAAATGAAATATTGAATTGAATAAGATTTGTTAGTGTCACTAAATTTTTTTATTTTTGGAATTATTTTTAAATCTCCCACAGGATAATTTCTTCCGTAAATAATAATAATAGTTAAAATATACATGTTTTGCACATATGTATTATGTTGATGAATAAATATAAAAAGAATAATTTATTGAGTTCACGCTATATTATTAAGTATATTTTGTATTTTTTGAAAAAAATAATTTTTTTAAAAAGAGAAAATGGGCTAAAACCCCTCCAATCTATATTCAAAATTTCAACTACACACTCTAACTTTGCGGGTGTCCTATCACCTCTCTGAACTATTTAAAAATATTATAACCCTTAAAATGCAATAATTATTCACGAGTCTTGTTGTGAAACACAAGCACCTGACACGTGTTTTTCACCAATTATAATTTTTTAATTATTTTTTCTCCTTCTTTACACTTTCTTCCCCAATTACAACCCTAATTCTTCGTGAAAGTTTTGATTTTAAAAAATATTGAGGGATTTGAATATAACTTGTGTAATAAAAGTATTTTGAAGTTAATTCTGCTTTGCAGAAATGTATGAAAGCTCATTTCGATTACCATGCTCTAATTTTATGGGTAGAGGCAAAGGTTATTGTTGAATTTGAGAAGAACAGAGAATCGATTGAGCAGAAAT